CCTTTAGTTCCTGTTCCTCTAGTTCCTTTAGTTCCTGTTCCTTTAGTTCCTGTTCCTCTAGTTCCTTTAGTTCCTGTTCCTCTAGTTCCTTTAGTTCTTGTTCCTCTAGTTCCTATAGTTCACTCTAGGCAGATGTGGGAGGAGCCTCATACACCTGAGCAGGTGTGACCTGTACAGCCGTGTTTGTTTCAGGCTGTCCACTTGATCAGACCTCAACAGACTCACCTGTGGAGCCACGTTGCTCAGGTAGAAGGTGTCTTCCATGGCCTTTTGACTCCACTTGTGATTGGCTGCAGCAGCCAGGTGGCCGCGGTCGAAGCCACTCCCCCTGTAGTCGGCGTTGGTGGCTCTGTGGAAGATGTGGATGCTGTGGACGACACACATCCTGTTAGACTGCGCCACGCCATGTGACCCACCTGTCGAGCTTCTACTCACCTGTCGTCCTCTTTGAACTCGCAGAACTTCCTGTCTGACGGTCCTTTCAGGGAGGCGGGGTCCAGCCGCTCTATTACCCAGGATGCAGTGCGTGTGCGAGGATCGTAGGATGTGACATAGGACTCCCTGGACTTGATGTTGGCCAAAGAGGGGAAGCCGTACTTCATCACAGCTCCAGAATTACCTGGACTCACCTGGATCAGAACAACAGCTGGTCAGCTGAAGGTTTGGGTCAGAACCACCCAGCCTACCATCAGCTGATGGATCCGTAGGTCTGCTGGACCTGCTTTAGGTTCTGTTAGGTGTAACTTGCCCAGTTCTCCAACATCCTCTGATCCGATCTGGATCCGTTTGTGCAGAACTAAAGTTCTGAAGATGTTTCCCCACTGAGCTATCAGGACATCCAGACCTCCCTCTAACCTGAGGAGGTCCAGATGTTCAGATGGTCTACTAGACCAGCTCTTCTCCACCTTGGGCTGCAGACCCCGATCAGCGTGGCCATTTTGGAAGAATAGAATGAACTCTGCTTCTGACGCAAGATTAGAAGTTCGGGGAGCGGCGGGTCTCCAACAGGCACCAGTAAACCAGCTAAACGCCATCGAAGCGTTCGCCATGGTCACGGAGTTCAATAGGAAACAGCAGCGGGGGGCTGGTGGTAGATGGGGGAGGAGTTTAATGGTCTATGAAGCCGCTATGATCGACGCCACCATCAGAAGGTTTCAATCAGGGCCTCCTGAATAATGACGGGTCAGAAAAGAAGGAACTAGATGTCACCTCCTCCAGCTGTGATCAGAGCTGCAGCCTGCTCCTCCTCCTGCTCCTGCTCCTCCTCCTCCTCCTCTCTCTGTTCTGGTTGTTCTTGTAGCGGCAGAGCTTGCAGCATCTAATCCTTCTGCATCCATGTAAATATCTGCTTCAAACTTCTTTCTAGTGTGTTTTGCTGCATTAAAGGAAAATTCCGGTTTTTTACACTTTAAGCCCATTTTCTGTAG